CTCCGAAAATGAAAAAAAAAAATCTAAATTTAAGGGAAAACTGGGGAGAAATTAAGATAATTTACAATGAGAAAGAAAAATGTGATGGAAACGATGCAGGTGATGCAAAATAAAATAAACTGCAAACTGAAACGAAAATAAACAGATACAAATAAAATGAAGGAGAAAACAAAGAAGAAAAGATAAGCATAGGAAAGTAAACCAACAAGCAGTAGCAAGGAAAGTTGGACTGAAACAGACAAGAAAGATACAAAAAAATAAGCAAGAAATTCTAGGTCTGGTCAAGCGGAATGACATGAATACAGCTGTGATATTACATGGTAAGTTCCATGATATTACAAATCTTGACAGTAGGAATGAAAATACTCAAAATAAAGAAACAAACAAAATTTGAACGAGTAACTGAGTCCAATGACAAAGATGAGGCTATCACTCCTGATCCTTTTCAAAAACATCTGACATTCCCAGAAGTATCTTAAAAAAGGCAGTTGCGTAAAAGAAAAGTTAACTAATGCAATCTCGTTAGCAGCATGGAGAGCTTTTTACTGTCGCAAAGATGATGAGAAAAAAGAAAAACTTGAAAAAAGCCAATCTGAGAAGAAAAACCCGTTAAGCAAAAAAGAGCAAATTCAAACAATAGCATACATCAAATCAAAAAACAAAATGGAAACGAGTATGAACGATAAAATAAAGGTAAAGAGCTCAACAAGCAAAAGATAAAGTCATGACGCTAGAAACTGGCTTTTACCAATCCCATGATACGGCTTCCAAGATAAACCCACTTCGAAATCGAATTTTGTACGTCGATGCGCATGACGTCCTTGGTGATAAAAGTTCCACTTTTATCACCAACCTTTTATCATCCACAGTCGGTAAAACATATATGAAAAGAGAGGGTTTTATTTAAATATTTAGAATATTTAGGGATGTTAGGTAAAATATTTGCAATTAAAACTTTAAAATATGCTATATATACATACTTATCTGTTAGCCTAGCAATGTAAATTAATAGAATTTAAGTAGATAATAAAATTATATAAAAAAGTAGGAACTAAACATCCTTTTGGAAATGGAAATTTATATACAATGGATTGATTTATTAAAATAAAAAATTAATACAACTGATAAAATAAATATAATATAAATATATAAAATAAATAAAATAAGTTTATTTAACAATTTATTTTACAACTTTTAATATTTTCTTCTTCTTAACTTTGGATTTTTCTTTGATACACCTATTCAATTCTCTAATTTTAAAATATAATTTACACCTATTGTTGGTTTGATGTTTGACATCTGAACTTACGTTTACTAACACAGCTAAATCCATTAGCGATTTTAAATAATTATTGGTTAATTTTAATGACCCTTTGTTAACATTGTTAAAAATGTGGTCCAGTTTATTACATTTAATTAGAAAATCTGGATATGGTTTAAGTAAACCTCCTTCAGAAAGAGTTTCGGTTTTCTTTAATTTAAAAGCAATAAACCCTGCCAAATTTTCTAAACCATCCCATTCCACTTCTTGAATATGACGTTCAATATATTTATCCTCAATATTAGCCGCATTTTTCGGATCAGCATGTCCATTATCATTAGATAAATTCAAGACCTCAAACATTTGTGCACTAACAATTTCAAACTCGTCGACATCGTTTTCATATACATCAAGGTTTGACATATCTCGTTTGACTGATACAGTCGCAATAGCAATATTTGGAATATGGTCCATTCTAGCAGTGTTGGCCGAACTGGAAATAATTTCATTATTTCGCCCCATAAGATAATTTCTTAATCTGTATTTTCTTAAACTGTAGAGCGGTAGGATGATCATTTAACCCTCCAATGGCTCGTATGATGGAGAAAAGACCTTCTAAAGGATCCTGATTTAAATGATATGTTAATAAATATTTTATGTCAAAATCGTGTTTTATATCGATGAATAGTTCCTTCAAAGACTTTATTTTAATTATTATACCTCGTTGAAAAGGTAACAAGGTATTAGAACTAACTTTTCTAAGTGGTGTTCTCCATTTTGTCAAAAATTTTATATTGTTGAATTAAAGCTAAACCATGCGCTTTGCAACGGTCTCGTGAATCACTTTGAGGTACTTTTGAATTAAATACATCAAACCAGTCATTGGTGAGTTTAAAGAATTCCGAACATTCAAGCCAGTTGTTTTCACTCTTAAAAATTCCCAATAATCCTAGCCTAGAAATTGCTTTCGATACTGTGTGCGAAAACAATTTGGTAGCTAATTTAACTTTTTGTTGTTGAGTGCCCTTAACTGTTAAGAAATCAGCATTAATTTGATGTGCAATATTCATATCTAAATTTTGTGTATTGTGGAGTAAATCTACAACTGGCTTGGATGTTATAAACTTTTCATTTATGATAAATCCATGGTCAAGAAAAAGGTTCCTCAAAAGTTTAAGCATATGTGGAGCATCTGCAAACAAATGCACTCTTTTTTTACTTATTAAATTTGTAAACATTGTTGTTTTTTCCGTTATATTTAAATACTTTCACAATCCCCTATTGCTGCTTCCTAAATCAGAGTTAATAGCATAAACAGGATAGCCTATATTTTCTAATTCTGAAATAATTTCAAATAAAAGAGTATGTGTAATTTTTTATCATAATCGTAGAACATCGGCTGTTTCCAGTTTCCGCATATTCCACGAGCCATGATTACTTACACATATTGGCTAGGTCCTAAGGTGGTGTCATTCTTTTTATCATAGTCATAAGAAATTTGAATTTTCATTTCATCAAAAAGTAATACACATATTCTTTCCATCGCTGAAAGAGAATTGTTTTTTATTAGTGTCAGCACTGTGTTAAGTATTACTGAAAATTAAAATAATACTTATTACTCATATAAAATTAACTACTGATAAGTATTTATGAAGAATCCTAGAATTATAAATACCTGGTTGAATGTGTATTGCGCTCGCCCATCTTCTTAAAGTGAAAACTGCAGGAAGAGGGTAGCCTCTTTTTCTCAATAAACGATAGGACCTTGTACCTGCTGCATACAGTGAAATAGCCGAAGCAATATCTTCAACTTTCCACTTTACTTGCTTGGCCAACTTTAATTTACGAAATTGCCCTTCTGTAAATACTTTTTCAATTTTATTCTGAATGAATAAAACATGGCTAGCGGCCATCTCCTAGTATTTCTACTCACACTATAGGTACCACTAAGCTCGTCCACCACGTCTACTTCTCCTTTAGTGAAGTTGTAAAAATTAATCATCTCTGGTTTTTCAGCTTCGCCAGTGGCTGGATCTATTTTGTCATCATGATGGAGGGCAGAAAGAAGTAAAACACTCTTTCCTCTCCGAGGGATGTATGACAGCAATGTTACATCATGCGTAAAACCGAAGAGTGAACTCCGTTCAGGTCTCTTCTTTGTCTGAACAAAGGCAGGAGGAAGCTCCCTTTTATTTTTACGTAAGGTGCAGACAGCTGTCAATCAATGCTCTTTTAGTAATGTGTATAGCAGAGGACAACTGGCAAACCAATTGTCAAAAGTAACGTTTCTGGCAGTGCCACTTATGGGTGCTATTAATCTAACAACAATGTCTTCTGGTTTGTTACTTATTTAAAACGGACCTTCGGGTTGTTTTCCGAGGTATGCCTTCATATTAAATAGGTAAAATGTTCTCGCATCTACTACGGCAAAAATTTTCAAGCCGTATTTTGCCGGTTTATTTGGCATGTATTGCTTGAACGGGCATCGCCCGTGAAAGGACTCCAGTTTTTCGTCTATAGTGACGTATTCTCCAGGAATGTAGTAAGCTTTGCAATTTTCGGTAAAAAGATCAAATATTACTCGAAAAGGGGCAAATTAATCTAACTGGCGTCTTTCATTTCTGGACTCTTTATTATCAAATCGCATGGAAGATATAATGAACATAAAACGTTTCAGTGGCATGGTTGTTCTAAAAATATCTACGCCTAAGCCATCAGTACTCCATAAATCTTCTAAATTCATCCTATTGGCACGAAATACACCAGCCAAATACAGGAGTCCAAGCACCGCCTTCATTTCTTGTATTGTTGTTGGTTTTACGAGGTATTGCATATTCTTGTTATAAGCTGTTGCTTTCTGACCCATATTCAGATTCGTATACTTTACAATATCTACCAACATCATATCGTTGAAAAATAAATTAAAACACTTTTCGCATTTCGAGCAACGCCCTTTGGTCCCGGAAGATGGCTTACGATATTCTCGCGTCGTGTGCGTACTTAGAGGTTACCACAAGATTTTGACCACTTAGTTTTTCCATCATGTCCTATAAAATATTCTCTTGTATTTGAGGATTCATCGTCTATTGCTGAGTTGGTGGATATGTTTTCTGTCATTGCTTCAGGCACTTCTGAATCCACAATTTCAGAATCCGATTCTGACATTGAATTTTCGCTGATATGATCGGGAAGTTCTCCCTCAGATTCTAAACCAATAGCGTGTTTATCTTGCGATTCTTCCCACAATTGCAGGAGCCTTCTTTGTTCTTGTTCATAAGACATTCTGTAATAAAATATCACTAAAACCCTGCAAATATACAATAAATTTCAATACATTACCTTAAAAAATATATAACACTACCGGTATGGTGGGGTATATAACACCCCAACGCTGTTTACACGAAAATATTTTACTACTGCTTCACTCGACGGTCGCGAACAAATTGCTGAAGACAGTATATAACCTAACTCGAAGGTAGGCGGGGTTTAACTGTTTGATGTTTGAAGTTGCGCAAACGCGGGCGTTTTAAATTCTCGTGGGGTATGTGATACCCCACAATACCGTCGCCGGGTTAATTATGATATATTTTGCTTTAACAATAAATAATACTATTACAACTACAAGTGGATATGTACCTATAGAAAAAAGACCATAGAAAAACACAAAAGAGAAGTTTTAAATATTATTTGTTACTTTCCCCAGTGACATAAATGTCATAAAATTGTAATAAAGAATGTTTTCATTAGAATCTAATTTTCGTAAAAAAACATAGTTTTTAAAAATTAAAAATGTCTACTTTGTCTATGTGTAAAAGTAAAGTCTGTAATCCACTACATTTGCGTGGCATCGAACCTATTCCAGCTCGACCAGAAATAAAAACAAAATGCCAAGGATTAATTATTACAGAAGATAAAATGAAAATATATATGAAAATCTTTCTTGAAAATGTTGAACGAGGTTTAAAAAAATCAACACATTTCAATTCTACCGTAAAGTGCTTCCCGACATATATTCAAGATTTTCCTGATGGTTCCGAATCAGGAAAATATTTGTCTCTGGTTTTAGATGGTTGTAACTTGAGAATTTTCTTGTTAGATATTCACAATAGACAGTATAAAATGGATCAGAAAATATACAGTGTCTCTCAAGACATTAAGACAGGATCCGGTGAACGACTATTTGATTTTATTGCTGAGTGTTTAGCAGAATATACCAAAGATAAAGGAGTTAATATTGATAACATTCCATTAGGATTTATCTTTAATTTTCCACTTGAACAAAAAGGGCTTAAGATAGGTATCTTAAAACTTTGGACAAATGGCTACTGCTGCGAGGGTGTCATTGGTAAAGATGTAGTCAAATTATTAAATAATGCTATTGATAAAAGAGAAGATTTGAAAATCAATGTAGTTGCTGTTGCGAATAATACTACAGGAATGTTTATGGTGTGTGCATTTAAAGATTTTGATGCAAAAATAGAAATTATCGTTGGTGTGAATACTAATAGTTGTTATGTGGAAAAACAAGTAAATGCAGAGCTTTTTGATGAACCAGATAGAGGCTCGGGGAATGTGATTGTTTACATGGAATATGGAGATTTTGGTGATGACGGTGCATTAGAGTTCTGCAGAACGCAATTTGATAAAGATCTTGATGCTGGATCTACAAATGTAGGTAACCAACTACACAAAAAGATGATATCAGGTATATACTTAGGAGAACTTGTAAGACTGGCTGCCGTAAAATTTGCCAAAGAAGGAATTCTATTTGGGGGTCAACTTTCCGATGATTTTAAAGTACATGACAAATTTGAAACTAGATTTATTTGTGAAATTGAATCAGATCCACCTGGTGTGTTTACTAATGTGAAGAGTATTCTTAATAATTTGGGGGTAAGAAATGCCACTGAACAAGATTTTAATGATATTAAATACTTGAGTCAATGTTTCTCTAGAAGAGCTGCTATCCTGAATTCTTGTATGATTACAGTTCTGATACGTAAAATTGGTTATCCAAACATTACTGTTGGAGTCGATGGAACGCTGTACAAAACTCACCCTCACATTCATAGTATTTTGATCTCACAGCTGGAAGTACTTTTAAAACCGGATCCATACAAATTTAAAATTATGCTATCTGAAGAAGGTAGCAGTGGAATTGGTGCAGCTATAATGGCTGCTGTTGTAGATAAGAAAACAGAACTATTATTTGAGCATATGCTCGAAGAACCACCTGTTTCTTTTGTGCTACCTATTTCTGAAACAGAGGTGCAACTTACGGATATACCCAAAATGTCAACTGAACCTTCAACATCTGCATCTATACCTGCTTCAGAAGTCTCATCTCTGCCTGTGCTCGAAGGACCAGCTCAACCGTCATCAATTTCTGCTCTTAATGCAGACACATCTTTAATCGACATACTTGATACGAACATTGCAGGTCCATCCCAGGAACTGTTTGTAGAAGAACCAATTGAAAGTAAATCAAAAGTACAATTTGTAGATGTACCTGAGATCTCTATTGTAGAACCTCCTCAACAAATCACTGAAGATGACAGAGAGGAGGAAGAAGATAATGTTGATAGTACAACACAAAGACGACGACGTAAAAAAAAGACAAAAGACGTAAAAATTTTACACAATATGTATAACCTATACCACTAATTTTCGCATACAGACTCGCGGATATTCCACTAAAAATATTACTGGTAATTTGCTAATTGTGAAGTGTTCTTATATATTAGGATTAAACAATCATTCTTGGAGTTTGAATAATTGAGAATTAAAAATGGAAGTAAACAAGCTACGTACTAGCAGATAACGTGCGTACAACAAGTAATGTACTTACAAATCCTTTAATTAAAAAATATCCACACATAAATTTTTTCAATTTTATGGGGTTTAAAACACATTAATGACCAATCATTGAAATACTTAGATTTTTTGCAATTCAAGTTTATATACTTTATAAATAAAGGCATAAGAACAATATTTCACTTAAAATTAATAATAATAATAATTGCAATATACAAAAAAATAATGTTTCGTAAACGAAACTTTGGCATAATATATGTAGTAAATTGAAAAGTATACGTTTTATAGTGTGTAAATGAAATTTGTTGATTTTATCAATTAAAACTAAAGGTGTTGCTACAATAGTTAATAGTATTAAGTAATTGGCGCAGTAGCGCCAATATGGCATCTCATTTTTTATAGAAAGCACTAAAACAGCGTGCAAGTGAACCCTTGCATTTTCTGCACATATAAACTGAATTAGTTTTGCACGGTCTGCACCGCCGTCTACGTCCATCCTCTTCGCGAAGGATATTATGACCAGTCTGGTCATATTGAATATCAGAAGGTAAACTTCCCTTAGAAGGACCCCATGCGGATGTGGATGGCTTTGACTCTGGGTCTGATTCGGAGTCATCTTCTTCAGCAGCTGTTTTTATCGTAAATCTTTTTTCGTTCTGTATTAGTGACAAAACCAACGAAGAACGAAATTGCAATTGGAAGACTCGAGAATCATTTGCAATGTTCTAAATTCTCCATGAATTTACCACTGTGCAATCCACGAGGTTCATAAACAAGGGCCGCCACCACTTTTTACTTCTTACTCGGATCCGGTATTTTGATACCGAATTATCTAGGAGATGAACACCTCCCATATGTCAGTTATAATCGTTAATCATATTAAAATGAGGTATTGCATCTTCCTTTCGTAGCTTCCGATTATATCTTTTAACTGTAACAATTGGATGAACCGTTCCATTGTTGCTGGCTACAGTTACAACGGAATTATCGTTCCACCTTGCAACTGATACTTCTGCCTTTTTGTCGAAAGCATGATCAAACTCGCCTCTGTTTTTCTTTCCAAGCACTTTGCTACTTTGTAGAGGACATCTTGGTAACCTATTCTCTCTCACGGTGTTAATAAAGAAAATTCCTTTTTCACCTAGAATGTGAAATAGTGCATAACTCGAAAAGAAGTTGTCGAAGAAAACTCTATGCTCTGAAGGGTTTTGCATTACACGTAGCAGATCTAAAACTACTTGCGTCCCTAATGTGTATTGTGATTTCTGCCTTTCTAGATTTGCGCCACCATAAGGAATGAATTGGTATAGATATCCCTCTGAGCTACACAAGCACCAGACCTTGAAGCCAAAGCGCACTGGTTTACCCTTCATAAACATCTTTGCAGAATATCGGCCGAAATAAGAAAACATTTGTTCATGTATAGACATATTATGAGAAAATAGTCCAAACTGCAAATATCGTTTGTTCATCAGCAAAAATAATGGACGTATTTTGGCAAATTTATCATTTTTGTCCAAGTCATTATTGTCAGAGACATGAAGATTTCTTTTTATGTTTTGGAAGGTGTTTCGGCTCATAGACATTCTCACCAGCTCCACGCTTTTATCTGGGTCTTTTGACCAATACATATCACACGTCGGAAGTGTATGATAACCGGTAAGGATTAAAATAACAAAAAACTTCTGCAGTTGAGCTGAAGAGAGTTTAAAATCATGTCTGTTGTTGTCCCGGGCATACGTCAGGCTGAATTCGAGTATCTTCTGGAATAAAATATCGTCAAAAAATAAAGAGACTATTTCAAATGGTGTTTTCCCAGCCAGTCTCAGCTTTATTTCTTCTTTTTTATTAAATTCATTGTCTTTTGGAGAAGAAGAATAGTTTTCTGACGATTTAGACCAGTCAGGTGTATATTGCGTTGGTTTGCATTTTCGTTCGGAGTTTACTTTTCTTTTCTTCCCCCTACTTGTAGATGGTTTCAGTATGGATTCTGTGGGCGTCTTAGCCTCTTCTCGAGACCTTGTGTGAATCTCGAATGTACCAGCGATATCAGTCAAAGCTTCTTCCTCTATAAGAAGATTATCATCCAAATCCTCTTCATCTGTTATCACATCAACTAAAGGAGGTATATAAACTGCATCTATATCATCCGCTTCTTCTAAATCAGAATCATCCTCCAGGACAGCTTGCAATTCTTTCACTGAACGAGGTCTCTTCATTTCATATTCGGATAGTCTAAAAATAAAATATCCTTTCAGAACATGTATATGTAAATGATTATCTTACAAATCTGATAATAATATGTATATGGCATTTACAAAACATTAATAACAAATTTAGCAATTGTTACATTCCCTCTGGACATCTTGATTCACCGTATAAATACTGCAAAATTGTAAAAAATAGCTACTACCGAGTAACTCACTATTATTATATGAAAGAAACCACTACACAGTTGGAAATAATAGCTATAGTAAAATTCATTAAGCGGTGCAGGAAAATATAAACATTAAATCGTGTCCGAACCGGTATGAACCGCCGATAACATCGCCAGACGAAATAAAGATGGACATTCCGGTTAGTTTTTAAATATTTTTGAAGAACTGTTACTTGCATTTATGCATAAAATATTCATTAATTTTATAAATCGGAGTATTTTTTCACTTACTTTGTATTCAGTGATAACATTAATTTATTTACTATGCAATAAACACGAATATTTGAGAAAAGAAAAAAAATAATAAAGTGTCATAATTATACTGTTACTTATCGGAACGAGTAGACTCATTTGGAACATCTTTAACAATTATCTGTTAAATTTATCGTTGTTTATATGCCCTGCATCGCTTAATGGAATAAGGTATAGAGTCAATCATGAAAAATGTCAATTTTTAGCAAATCAGATTGAATACTGTGGATATAAAATTGACAAAAATGGTATACATAAAACCAAAGAAAAGATGGAAGCTATACAGAAAGCAAAAACACCTACAAACAAGACAGAAGTTAGAGCATTAGTAGGATTCATAAATTACTACGGACGGTTCTTACAAAATTTGAGCCATACTTTACATCCAATTTACAATCTTCTTAAAGATGGAGTATCTTTCAAATGGGACAGAAAATGTGAAGAAGCGTTTACAGCAGTAAAAAGAGAAATGATCTCTGATAAAATTTTAGCACATTTTGACCCAAGTTTACCTTTAATACTTGCAACTGATGCGAGCCCATATGCAGTTGGAGCAGCATTATCTCACATATATCCGGATGGATCTGAGAGACCAATTCAATTTGCTTCACAAACACTTAAAAAAAAAACAAAAATATGCTCAAATAGATAAAGAAGCATATGTCATAATTTTTGGTATTAAAAAATTTTACTATTATCTATTTGGTAGAGAGTTTACACTCTATGTGGATAATCAACCTTTAATTCAAATATTCTCTCCATCTAAAAATTTACCTACACTAACTACAACTAGAATGCAACATTATGCACTGTTTCTTCAAAGTTTTAATTACACAATTAAGTATAAAAATACTAAAGTCCATGCAAATGCTGATGCAATGTCAAGATTACCTCTTGATAATACTTCTGAATTTGATTATGACGTGGGAGATCAGTTTGAAATCAGTCAAATAGAAACTTTACCTGTTACTTTTAAGGAATTAAGTTTTGAAACTACAAGAGACCCCACACTACAAAATCTTTACAATGCTCTAGGAACTGGAAAACTGATTGATGCTAGGGATAGATTCAATGTCCCACAGATAGAATTTTCTTTATAAGGAAATTGTATTTTTCGGCAACAAATGGCAGTTATTCCAACTAACCTACGTAAAAAAGTTTTAAATGAATTACATACTGCTCATTTTGGCATAGTCAAGATGAAGATGCTTGCAAGAGGATACTGCTGGTGGCCAGGAATTTCTAAAGATATAGAAGATATATGCAACAAAATCAGGAATAATCCAGAGAAAACAGTAGTACACCCATAGGAGACACCTAGAACCCCTTTTGAAAGAGTTCACATAGATTTTGCAGGACCAGGATTTTGCGATTCGACTTGGTGATTTCTATTCGATTTGTCAAAAGTTACAGAATAGATCTGATTATCAAAGACTAGAATTAGTTCTTAGCAGACTTGCAAAATACAATATTATAGTAAAATTCATTAAGCGGTGCAGGAAAATATAAACATTAAATCGTGTCCGAACCGGTATGAACCGCCGATAACATCGCCAGACGAAATAAAGATGGACATTCCGGTTAGTTTTTAAATATTTTTGAAGAACTGTTACTTGCATTTGTGCATAAAATATTCATTAATTTTATAAATCGGAGTATTTTTTCACTTATTTTGTATTCAGTGATAACATTAATTTATTTACTATGCAATAAACACGAATATTTGAGAAAAGAAAAAAAAATAATAAAGTGTCATAATTATACTGTTACTTATCGGAACGCGTAGACTCATTTGGAACATCTTTAACAATTATCTGTTTAATTTATCGTTGTTTATATGCCCTGCACCGCTTAATGGAATAAGGTATAGACTGAAAAATTTTGTATTATTAGTAGACTATCAAATGGACGTAGTTAAGCAGAAAACGTCCAACCCAAAAAAAGTGATTGTTGGGAAATTGAGTTTAAAAGATTTTAGTGTGCCCTAGCTAAACTATGCATAATTTATTCGCCTGGCAATGATTTTAAGATAATGATATTCATCTCGTAGGCACCTCGTTTGTAATTTCTTTTAAATGTAAGTTTCAATGAAGTTATTTTGAAAATTTTAGGTTGGACGTTTTTAACAAAAAACAAAAATCCGAAAAAAATTTCGATAAAACATACTTATGTGGGTTGGAATCTTTCAGATAAATAAATAATGTCATATTTTTATAAAAATTTTAATGATCCAAAGAAACAAAATTACAATGATTTTCTTATGTAAATGTAAATTTAAAAAAAGTTTTAATTATTGTGGGTATCTACCTCAAAATCTAGAACTGGAACATTAAATCCATCAACGTCTTCGACTACATTAGCACTT